GGAAAGAACACTCCCTGTTCTGGGAAGGAGAGTCTCCAGAGGTGAGATTCACTTCAGATATCACTGTTTCCGCTAATTAATATCAGATCTATATTAACACACGCTGCTCTCTGATTATTTTTCAGCTGTCTTCTTGGACTGAACTCGGGCCCTGCAATCTGGGCCGGTGTTAGCCGCCTGGTGGAGGCGGCACGTGGTCCAGAGCGACCATGAGGACTTGGTGGTCGTTCATTCTCGAGGATTATGTGGCCATCAGAGAGGCGGTGCTGACCGGCCCGAGGTTGATGGCTCAGACCAACGTCCAGCTCTTTGAATTAAATTGAGGACTCGGCAGTAAGAGTTTGTCAGCTGTGTTGGTGTGTTGTAATCTGTTCTGTGATTTATCTTTTGATGAAAGCTGAAAAACCTAAAACAGTTTGTCTGTGTGTTCCAGGTGCTGGCCAGACTCTCCCTTCAGCAAAGGGTCTATCATTGGTACAGGTGGGACAAGGACAGCCCTTTAACTTCAGTGTCCCGGAGGAGCAGTCTGGGCCCTCCAGCATGAAACTGAAAGTAACGTCTTTTAAGCAGATTGAAACGAGGAGTGAAGTACACGCACCAAGCAGCAGGAACATTCAAAAGTTCTCCAGGAATTTTCTAGTTGTTTATTATTCTCTGTCCTCAGTGTTCACAGATTCAGTTTCTTGCCTTTTACTTCATTTCTACTGTTGTTGATAGATGATTTTAACAACATTAGAAGAGCAGAATCTGTTCAGCTCTAGCACAGTCACCACCTTCACAGGTGAAAGTATTGACCAGTTTAACATGAAAACAGTGTTCAGTAGGAAACCGATGGAGCTGACACACTCTGCTGTGACCTCAGAGACGGATGTGTTCACCTTACACACTCTTTAGTGTGAACTGAACATTGACAGTTCAGATTGTGAAGCAGTTGTCAGTGTAGTACAGCTCATGTACATTAGTTTTATTCAGAACTTAATTGTTGTCATTGAAAAGATGTTTAATAAATAAACCTGTGATTAAATTGTACTGAGTATGTTTTTTCATATTTACCATCTGCCTCATGATGAATCTAACAGGTCACTTTGCTGAATTAGTGTTTTCATTGTTATTAAAATTGGTAAGTACATAAGACAAATTAGAAAAGCACAAACTCTAGTATCTATCTCTAGATCCTGTATTGTCACTGTTGAAGGATGGAGAAATTTAAACATTTCTATCATGTTTGTTGTTGATTAAAGCCAACATAGAAGGTCTTTGATTAATTACAAAAAAAAAAAAGGCTAAACCAGAACCAGAGCCTGTGCCATCAGCAGAGGGCACAGGAGTCCGTTCCCCGCCAGTGGTCGCATACTCTCGGTGGAAACAGCTGTTCGCTCTGGGGCACATGCATCAGGTCAGCATGTCTATGTCAGGACGTCCCAACACGGTGCGATTGGTGCTCCTCGGAGCGGCGGGGGTCGGGAAGAGCGCGCTCATCCGCCGTTTCCTCCACAACCGCTTTGAGCTCAAGTACACGCGCACAGTGGAGGAGCTTCACGTCCTGGAGTACCACACCGCTGGGTCCGGGAAGATGCATCTGGAGATCCTGGACACGAGCGGCAGCTACTCGTTCCCGGCCATGCGGGAGCTCTCCATCCGACACAGTGACGCTTTCGCCCTGGTGTACGCTGTGGACGACCCGGGGTCCTTCGAGGAGGTGCGGCGGCTCCGAGACGAGATTCTGGAGCTGAGGGGCGGTAAGCGTGCGCCCATCACAGTAGTTGGCAGCAAAGGAGATCTCACCGAGACCGAAGGTCGCGTGCTGCTGGCGGGTGATGTCATGGCTACAGTGGAGGGCGAATGGGACGCCAACTTCGTGGAGGCGTCCGCGCGCACAGGTGGAAACACGGTTGGAGTTTTCCGCGCGCTGCTGCAACAGGTGGACCTGCCGCACCGGCTGAGTCCTGCGTTGTGCAGGCGGAGAGACACGGTGCCCAGCCCTGCAGCCAAGAAGAGGCCACCACTGAAGAAGAACAACAGCTGTGTCCTGTCATAAAAACAACCTCTGTGTTTGATGAAGGACTCTGCAGCTGCAGCTGCTCGTGTTCAGGTGTTGCTGGTCATCACAGTACTACACCTGGTTTGTGCAGCGGTGGAAATGTCCCCTATGAACTACAGCTATGACACTTTACTGTCTTTAGTCTGGACAGTATAGTCATGATAGTTTAGGGAACCCCTGCTTACATGCCATGCACTTTATATGTGTTTTGTGTATATTTTTATATTATGACTATAAAATAACTTTTGTGAATTTTGTCTGTTTCCTACATTTTCTGCACACTGCACATTGGTATTAAAACCACATTTTGAGTGTACCTTGTCCAAGGAAAGAGTGTGTTTTATTTAAATCAAAGCACAAACATCACAGTATCAAAATGCTGCATTATAAGTAGAAGTTCTGCATTCACAATTTTACCTAAGAAAAATTATAAAAAAGATTATCAGCAAAATAGGCTACTTGAAGTATCAAGGTATAAGTGCTCCTAATGCAAAATTACCACTTAGTATATGTGCAGCATTTTATATTGTGGCTGTTTGAAGTAAAGCTAATGTTAACTGCTTAATCTATAATAATACATCATATTTTACTGATGATATGTAAAAACTTGATCTTCAAAGTAACTAGAATAGCTGTAGAATACATGTACTGGGCAAATTACAACATTTGCCTCTGAAATGTAGCTGAGTAAAAGTATGAAATATCATAGAAATACATCACATGAGTATAATAGGCTACCTCAAAACTGGACTAAGTACTTGAGTTGCCTTACTCCAAGTTAGCAGCCCAATTAAATGATTAGGCTGCTGACAATGTGTCCCTTAAACTCTCATTCTTGCCCAGTAGGCCTAAAACCTCTTAACCAACATTAATCTTTGATTTTATGCTTTTTATATTTTTTACAAAGACCAAAACATTTATAGAATTTTTTTTTTCCTGACTCCAATCCTATCTGCGTCAATCTCCCTCTACTGCTCTAGAGTTTGGGGTGCCCTACAACATATTAAAATCTGCATTTTGAACTTGTCACCGTGGGTCAGTGAATAGATCAAGACAGCCTGTTTCATCATCAATGTCAGCCTCCATTGTTAGCTTTAGCGGATGCATGGAGGGGATATTTAGATCAGTCAGTGCTTCATAAAAATAGCTCCTCTCTGCATAAAGCCATGTCGTGCTGTTTAACACACACACACACACACACACACACACACACACACACACACACACACACACACACACACACACTGTCAAGTGGAACAAAGCGCATAAACAAACCCACAAATCTCATGGTCTTTTCATTCATCTATCCTCTCCTCATCCACTTGTTCTCCTCTTATCTTCCTCTACTAATCCCATGTCAGTTCTATAATCTGCTGCCGAAAACAGATATAACACTCGTGGGCACAAAAAGATCAATAAGGAAGAGGTGTAGTGCTTCCGGGGCCACACAATGGCTATAAGAAAAGATGAAACAGAATACACAAATAGATTTTTTTTTACATGACCTGGATGTTGCTGCAAGATTGCACATTAAAAATATCATGTTGTTGGAGTTTACTACGTATAATTTCTGTGTCGATTAATCACACATTTGTTCGAAATTTGCACCACTGAGGACCTAGAACAACTAAGACAGGTGCTCCATCCTTTAACTTGTAGCCCCGCAGCCTTGCTGAAGGACTGATGTCAAATTCTAGTTATAAGACCTTCATTGTTTATATTTGTCGCTCATTTGTCCTTTTAATGTTTTCTGTGTCTCAAGTAATTAACACACAGGCAAGGTTGTACTAATCCATCGTAGGAGAACTGTAAGGCTTCAATCACCAAATATCTTCGTTAACAATACATCTGACAGTTATTTTGTTTAATAGTCAATTGATTGTTAAATGTATGAAATGTATGAAAAAAGGCCCATCATTGTTCCCTGAAGTCCAGGTTAACATATTCAAATTCAATTTGTCTGACCAATATCCAAACCCTCCAAAATATTGAGTTTGCTATCATAGAAAAACTGAAAACTAGAAAATATTATCATTCAAGAACTTGATACCAGTGAATTTTTGACTTTGCTTTGCTCAAAAAAAGAAGACTTAAATAATTACTTATTAATCCTTTAAAGTACAATGCCCAAACAAATAAGACAACTTATACATTGTTTGGAAGCTCTAAGTCTCCACATTCTGTGCAAAGTATTTTAGGAGCTATTGACACAGAATTGGTTCAGACCTGTGGCTACCTTTTTATACAGTCTATGGTGGTCACACAAAAGGTCCTTCTACAGGCCTTATATTCTCTTTTTATACCTTTCAAATGAGACTGCATTCAAAATGGTGTTAGAACAGTAACCTTTATATTTTGGGTAGGCCCAGTATCATTTTCAGGCTTGCACAGAGGGTATCTGGTAAAATGACTGCCATTCATTTTCCTGACTGATCAGCTAATCATTTCAGCTTATACTGTCCACTACTGATAACCAGTGGGCTAGAAACTCTACACTGCTCCTCAGAAAGAGATACATCCTTTCACTTTTGATCCTTTTGTTTGTTCTTGACTGAAATGTTAACCTAGGATGTTTTAGTCATACTTACACTGGGTATTGTACACAGTGCTGGTGTGCCATTGATTTGAGTAAATAATTTAAAATAATTTCCTCCTCAAACAGTAAATGACCACTAAATCCACAACATCAACTTGTACTCAACAACTGTTTGATTAAATCCCACTAGGACTACATTTCCCGTCAGTATTGCGTTTTAGGAACTCACGGGCAACAAGCGACAGCCTTTCAGCCAATCACATCGCAGAATATGACTTTCTCGGTTTGTGATTGGCTATTTTTGCACCGATCTTCCCACGATGCTTTGCTGCTCCGCCTTCGAATTCAAATCGAGTGGACCAATCAGAGAGCGCCGTAACGACCGAGGCAGCATTTTAAACTTGTACCAGAGACTGTTGTCAAAAGACAGGACGGGGCAACGCTGCAGCCACCGAGGGACAAGTCTGGCGATTAATTTCACGGCTAGCTCAGGTTATTTTTTTATATTGAGATTAATATGCACTAAATTTTTCCTGTTGAATCAAATGTTTGATTAACGTTCGCGTTCAAAGGTGGTTAACGTTAGTTTTGATTTGAATTCAGAGGTGTATGGGAGCCAGCTAGCTTCCAGGACTGAACAACATCGGTTGAGCTGTTTTCGACACTTCGACTGCTGAAGAATTTTAAACGTTTCTTTAAAGACACCGAGAAGCACTTTAGTCGAAAATGAGTGCAGGTATTCCGAAGCCGGCGAATCCGTCGGCCCATGTCGACCCCAAATCAGCTCCTCTCAAAGAAATCCCAGATGTTCTGGTGGACCCACGCACCATGAGGAGATACACGAGGGGAAGATTCCTTGGAAAAGGTGGTTTCGCCAAATGCTATGAAATCACAGATATGGAGACGAAGCAGGTTTTCGCCGGAAAAATCGTGCCCAAGTCCCTCATCCTGAAGCAGCACCAGAGGGAGAAGATGTCCTCGGAAATCGCCATTCACAAGAGCCTCGACCATGCGAACATTGTGGGGTTCCACGGGTTTTTCGAAGACGACGACTTTGTCTTTGTTGTCCTGGAAATCTGCAGGAGAAGGGTGAGTGTATATGGAAAATACGTGCTTTCTCTCCAGTGACCACATTTCTCAGGGCCAACGGTTATCACGGCGGTGTCTTCCGTTGTCTTCCCAGTCCGAGTGGAGGTAGCTAAAACGATAGGAAAAACCAAGTAAATTCTGAACAACACTTTTAAATAATGTATGTGCCATAAAGTCAACAATTAGATAAAAATTTTTCATTTTTGCTGAATTTGACCCCCTTTTATGTGCTGAGCTGGTCCCCTCCCAAATATCTGCATTGTATTCATTGTCCAGTCCATTCACTAACATTTTGGGTTTATTAAATCAAACTAGTTCACACTACATGCCTCTTTATTATTGCCATAGTGGCCTTACAGCAAGAAAGTGGGAGTTATAGACTTGGTCTGAAGTGATTTATTATAGTTTTCACTGCCTCAATGATATACCTATTAATCCAATAATTTTCTTTTCTATTTCAGTCCTTGTTGGAGCTGCACAAGCGTCGTAAGGCTGTGACTGAGCCAGAGGCTCGCTACTACATGACACAGCTGCTCAAGGGTGTCCAGTACCTGCACAACAACCGAGTCATCCACAGAGACCTGAAACTGGGCAACATCTTCCTCAATGATGACATGGAGGTCAAGATAGGTAAGTGTCACTGTTGGATTGCAAATAATGTAATTAAATCCAGTTCTCTTACAATGATGATGGTAATAAATACCAGAAACATTTACCAACACTCAAAAACGAACCTCCAGCGCAGTAACAAAGGATAGGACACACCCCAGCCCTCACATCAGACCTTTGTCACACTTCCTGGATGACTGGTTTCCACTGACTGGTGGAAAGATTTCTCATGAGAACTAAACACACAAATAAATCTTCAATTAGGATAAATTAACATTGTGTCCTGGAAATTTGCACAAAAACAAACTTTTTAGTCTGCTGCTTTACAAAAGCTTGTCTGCCTCTCCTCTCTAGGGGACTTTGGCCTGGCCACTAAGATCGAGTTTGATGGCGAGAGGAAGAAGACCTTGTGTGGAACACCCAACTACATTGCACCAGAAGTGCTTTGCAAGAAAGGCCACAGCTATGAAGTGGACGTCTGGTCGCTTGGGTGTATATTGTAAGTTTGGAAACACAAGCACACTCTGGAACAGCACTATTCCACATGATTCAGTCAGTTCAACCCCCCCCCCTCCAATCTGTGTTCTCTCAGGTACACTTTGTTGGTGGGTAAGCCCCCATTCGAGACCTCCTGTCTGAAGGAGACCTACAACCGCATCAAGAAAAACAACTACACTGTCCCCTGGGTAAGCTGAACTAACAAAGTACACAATCCTTTCAAAATAAAGTTTTTATATATATATATTTTTTTACACATTTATTTCCCCCACACTCATGACCTGTCATAACCTGAATTCACAACTCTCTCTGCAGCACATCAACCCGTCCGCATCTGCTCTCATCAAGCGGATGCTGCACGCTGATCCTGCTCAGAGGCCCACCATCGCTGAGCTGCAAACAGATGAGTTCTTCACATCCGGCTACATCCCCTTACGTCTGCCCACTACATGCCTCACTGTGCCCCCGCGGTTCTCCATCGCTCCCTCCACAGCTATGGAGCTCAGCCAGAGGCGCCCCCTGACTGCTATTAACAACAAGGGTAATGGTCCCAGTAGTACTTGACTTAAGACAAATTACCAAAGTAGTCTTCAGACTACAGATTAAAGTATGATGAAATGTTGGGTTGCACAGCTCTCCAGATAAGTGGTAATCAGTATCCCAATATAAAGGTCTGGGTTTTAATGACTTATTTTTTTGTTTTTTTTCCCTCTTTCCAGCTGGAACAGAGAAGGTGGACGTTAAGGATGAACCTGTTCAAAGGTGAGAGATGTTTGTACAATGTCTAGAAGTGCTCACTCTGAATCTGTCAAGCTTCAGCGAAAATACTTTCTCTCCCCTTCCCTTTTTGATTTAATTGGCTGTTATTTACTCTGGAATCTTCTGCTTTGTAGAAATTACATTTAAATAATTAAAACTTTAAATTACAGAGTCTTACACCACTATAATTTTCTTTCATTTTATGTTTTCATTTGTGTGTAGGGAGACTGAGGCGTCAGAATGCCACCTGAAAGACATGCTACAGCAGCTCAACAGTATCATTGCTGCCAAGCCCTCTGAGAAGGCACTCATACGCCAGGGTGAGTGTAGAGTCTTTGGTTTCACTGACGACTCTTTTTCATGTCAATGTTGCACACTTTAGTGGTTTGTACGATCTGTAGTACGACACTACATACAAGACATTTGTTCCATTCGTGTTTACAGAAGAGGCAGAGGATCCTGCATGTATCCCCATCTTCTGGATCAGCAAATGGGTCGACTACTCTGACAAATATGGACTAGGTAAGAAAAAAAAAACTGATTCCACATCCATCTGCCAGTGATGCTCACACTTTTCTAAACCTTTTTGTCATTCATCAAGTGAGACTGAACAAAAATTGTATTTTTCTGGTCAATCTGGTTCTTATGGACATTAATGTACACTAATTTGGAGTTTTTGGAAGATAGTTTTAGTAAATCACTAACATCACTTAAACTATAGCTGAGCTACCATGCATGATTTTAAAGCGACATCTTTGACCCAGGAGTTTGTAGATGCAACAGTTCGTTTGCAAATTCATCATTTGTCCTTAACATCTCTCATGAGCCTTTTTACACTAGCAGCATTTTACAGTTTGGTGTATATGCATACAGGTTGGACTGTTTATTTTGCAGCTTGAGCCCAACTGATAAATTGGCCAAGACAAGAAGTCTGTGTATATGCCGACCAATAAAAAGAAATGACAGTAATAAAATACAAAAGTTTCTGTATATGTAATGTAATGCGATTCCGTTGTTTGTCCACCAGAGAGCAATTGTATTGTTATGCAGTGGATGTTGACCATGAAATTCAGTGCTGCTGCATATTTCATGTTTTAAAAAAAGAATGTCACTTGTGTGTTTCAGGCTACCAGCTCTGTGACAACAGCGTGGGCGTGCTGTTCAACGATTACACTCGCCTGATCATGTACACCGACGGAGACAGTCTGCAGTACATCGACAAGACGGCGGCTGAATCCTACCTCAGCGTGCGCTCTTGCCCTGCTACCCTCAACAAGAAGGTCAGGAGTTTACTTATTTCTGCAAAGATGACCTCTAAACATTCTCAGGTTCATTTAGTGTGTGTGTGACATTACAGGAGCAACGCTGAAAATCACTTAATATCCTGCATTCTTTTTTTTGGAAGCTGTTCTTATTATGGTCTTCATTTTCATGTACTTGTTCTGTTTCCTTGTAGATAACACTGCTGAAATATTTCCGCAATTACATGAGTGAGCACCTGTTGAAGGCCGGTGCGAACATGGCACGGCGGGAAGGAGATGAGCTTGCCAGGCTGCCTTACCTCTCCCTCTGGTTCAGAACAAAGAGCGCCATCGTCCTGCACCTCACCAACGGCACCGTTCAGATCAACTTCTTCCAGGTGAGACGCGCACTGCATCATCTCCCAGACCACGGTGTCTTTTGAGTTTTCTCACATTAGCTGTTGAATACAATTTTTAGTTTTTCCTCATTTCATGATATGCATGAATCCTGAACCTACGTTTTCATTACCCCTCCTCTGCCAGGACCACACCAAGCTGATCCTGTGTCCGCTGATGGCCGCGGTGACCTACATCGACGAGAAGCGAGAATTCCGCACCTACAAGCTGTCTCTGCTGGAGGAGTTCGGTTGCAGTAAGGAGCTGTCCAGCCGCATCTGCTACGCCAAGCTCATGGTGCAGAAACTGCTGGACAGCAAACTCACCCCCGCTGCACACTAGACCACCTTTTCCCAAAGTCTTCAATCACAGTCTCTGTCTTTAATCACCGGCCACTTCTCCCTGGCTGTCGGCCTCTCTGAGGACGGGACAGACAATTAACTTCTCTATTTTATTGAAGAGTTGCAGTGTAATGATTTTTATGTCATCTTTGAGGCTTTGACATGTACCATGAAAATTAATCTTTTTTTTTTTTTCCCCCTGTCCTCTATTGTTTATAGAAACTCACTCAAGTCGTATCTTAATTGTCTTTGTGAAGTTTACTCTTGACAAACATGTTCCTGCTAAGATGGCTGGATCGCCGACAGCCTGGCACACGACAATGTTCAAATGAGTCTGTGAGGAAATGATGAATGTTCTGTGTTCCTCATGTTCGTCATCTTAAAGTTTTTAACGTTCTTCTTTGATTCCCTCTGCTTATGGTTTGTTTGCATTTGTTCATATATCTGTCTCACGCTTTAAAACCTAAAGCCAGAGTGGACAAATGTGTAGTGGGGGACTTGAGACTCGGACTGGCTGTGTGGATGCAAAAAGCTTCTCTGGTCTGCTTTTGTCTGTTTTTATCTGTGTTGTATGTAGAGAAATGGACCATGTCAATAAGTCTTCATCATGTACATTTTTCCTTTTTTAGTTTTACTCTTTCATAAAAGTCTATTTTAGATGTCTTTTTCAACAAGATGTACAAACTTGTACAGACTGCTGAACATGCATACGTGTTGTAAAGATGGTTTAATTTTACTCAAGTCTAAATAAAGATTCTCTTGAACAAGACAAAATATAGGTTTTTATTGTTTGTCACATTTACAGCTCGGAAGATAATGGTGCTTAACAAAATTTGAGCACCTACAAACTGGTTACTGGAAACTTTTGAGACTGAAAAATGTAGCTAATCTCATCTAATTTGTTGTTTTAATTTAAAGTTAACAAGTTTAAATAGTATGTACAAATGTTCAGAACTGACTGCAGATCTTCTGGTGTTTTGTCAAAGATGTGGTTCAGCCCACTTTGACCGCCGTGCTGAGGGACCTGTTTCACAGCAGACATGTTTGCTTGTAATAGCAGGCAAAGCACAGAGGGTGCTGATAACGTTATAAGTGCATTCCACGTAGGTGAGCTAACCTGGTGTTGTGCATGTTGACTTACCGCAACACTTGATGGAACTGAGTCATTGTTAATAACATTTATTTCTCCTGTGCTTTTCCTGCTACAGCAAGTCAAAGGGTCTATTGTGTGAAGAGTTTAGAAAAGATGAATCCAGTATGGAGAACCCTGCGTAACCAACTTTAAACATACGGCAACATTCTGTCTTTAGGTGATGATGTTGGACTCAAAACAAGCATGAGACAAGTTTGCTTCCTTACCTAGGGCAAAATAAATAATAGTTTCCTTTAATCATGAAGTGATGATTACACTTAAACACTCACCCAACAGGCTTATGCAAACCTACTCCACATTTCCACACTCAACTTCAGAGTGGGAGATAATTCAGTGCTGGAAGCCTGCACGAGTACATCCACTCTTACATAACTGTTTATGCTTTTGACAAATAAGAAAAAGCATTTCCAAACTCTTAATCCTCTTAAACGGAAAAAATTGCTATATAATGGTTTTGGACAACAATAGCAGTGTAAATATAGAGACACACACACACACACAAAAAAAATACTGAAAATAAACATCACTGAAACCACAGAAGTTTAATGTCAATTATAAAAAAAAAATTTTGGCAACACTTCTTTTTCTTTAAATATAACAAATATAATAACATGTAGGCAATTACGCAAAGAACAGTCAAAACAGCAAAGGTAATAAAACACAAGGTTGGTTTTCAGATTGGGGGTTACAGTGGTCTAAAAAGTGAAAATTCACCATCTAGTAGACATTGCCCCACAAAGAGGTTCAGTTAAGAGATATCCAGTGTGTGATACTGGTGTTCTAAAAACAACAAATCCAAAGGCTGGAGGCAATCCAGTATAATATAGCAGCACTCCAGCTTTAACAGTTCAGTCTTACCGAGGTTCTAAGTAAAGCTTAGATCAAGTGCGCCACTAACTTATGGGATATATTTAGTTTACAGTATATTAATCCCCATATTTTAGCAGTACTGTGGCCTGGAGACAATCCTGTCACTGAAAGTTATATTTTGTCAAACTGCAATGTCCGAGCCACAGAACCTCCTTGCGAAGCAAAACAAAACAGATGTTAAAATTTTTTAATGGTGTCTCTGAACTGAAGCCTTGTTAAAATCTTGATATAAACATTCATACAGTGACAGAAAGGCTTGATTTTTTTTAAGTTTGATTAAAGTCATCTAAGAGTCTATATTTTAGAGGCAGAGTGAAGTCAGACTGTAGCAGTGTAAAGTAACATCTCCGTTGTGATGGCCAGTAACCAGCGTGTCTCGTCCCCCCCAGCGAGCCAGCTGCCAGCCTTCGCTCTCAGGAGCCCACACCATCCTCGAGGCCCCCTGACGCCCGAGCTCCCACACACACACACAGCCGCTCTGACTCAGACCGACCACGCTGAACCTATTGACATCGGCTTCACACAGTCTGCAGAACACACAGAGGCAAATGGGAGTGTTAGGTACATTAACGTATATGTACAGAAACACACACCTCCTTCATCAGTCCTCATCTCACCTGCCAGACCAGGCTTTGGGTGGATACAGTCGAGTAGCCAGCACAGATTTGCTACTCAGAGGGTTAACGGCGACCAAGGAGAACAAGGCGGTCTTCTTCTTCTCCTCTTCTTTCTCCTGCTCTGAAAATATGGCCTCTTTTTCTTCTTCCTCCAGGGAGCTGAGCAACTGATGCTGCAGCAAGACAAATAACACTCCCTGTGCACCAACACAAAAACACACAGGGGTGAGACATTTACAGTGGCACAGGCAATAACACATGCAAAGCAAACAGACTTACATGATAGGAGTATCCTCTGAGACAGGCCGTGTGTGTAAAACCGTCTCCCAGGACGATTCTACGCAGCAGCTGTCCACTCTTTAAATTCCTGTAACAAACAAACAAAAAATAAGCATGTGAGCTCCATACTTGGATTTTAAAGACCTTTTACACAGCAGACCCTTCAGCATGTCACAGTGGGAAAAGCATGCGTGATTAATAACATTACAAATGAGTGCATTCCATTTAGTTATGCCAGTTCCACTTCCAATTAAAGTCTGAATCTCTATTCAAAGTCTTAAAAATGCCTTAAATCACATGTTATTTCTCTCAAAGAGGAACTGAAGACTGCTTCTGTTGATATATTCAACATTAAAAGTCAAGGATATTATATAATGTTTGAGTCCTATGGGCAGTTGAAGTAGATATTCTGATCAGAGTAGGGCTAATAACATCAAATTTGTTAATTAACTGACTGATACAGGATCACAGAGCCCTGGACTGTATCCCAGCATGCACGGGCAAAAGACAAAGAGACATGTTAGAGAGAGGTGGATACACATATACAGACAAACACATTCATCCCAATAAAGCTGTTGGCAAAATTAGACCCTAAATATGTGTCCAAAAGTCCCCAGTATTGTGTGAAGCTAGATAGATATTTATGTGATCATAGACTGCTTTAGTTTATGGGACTATAAACATCACACACTGTCAGTATAAACCAATATTTAACTGTATGCCTTTGTCTAAATTAAGTGGTAATCTTTTCTATAAAAGTTCTTCCTGGCTCGTGTCCTAGAGGCCTGGTGGTTTACTCTTCTCCCTCCCTCCCTCCCTCCCTCCCTCCTTTTCCTGCTTGTATCTTCACTCTGAACTGTTATCTGTTAACATGGCGTTTCACTGGCCACAAAGAAACACAAGTGTGTTGCTGAGATTAACTCTCCACTGGAATAAATTACTTCAATCCATCAATCTTGCTTACCAGACGAAGACACCTCCACCCTCATCTGTGCCAATCAGAGCATCAGAAAGTCCATCCACTGGCGCGAGGGCCCCGATACAAACACCAGGAGACACAAGAGGCTGACAGCTTGGCGTGCTGAGGAAGAAATTAGACACTGAGATACAGTAGGTTCTGCAATGGGAAAATAACCGAGAAAGAATAAACACAATAACTTTGGTTTACCTGCTGTTGTCTGACATATCAAACACCTGCAGGGTGGAACCTGTTGCTGAGTGGGAGGAGGTAACCACTCTGGACTTGGACACACCTACAACAGCCTGGACGACCCCCTCACATAGCAGCACTTGCATGAGGCTGGAGCACGACAGCAGCCTGTGCACATGGACAACACATATACACACAGTTAAGTTACTGAAACCCTGATGCTCTGCAAACCACAACAGCTGGTTTTCCCAAGAACAATTAATCCCATGTCCACTGAAAAATATCCTTAATCCAGCACAAGACTTAATTCCTGCACAGACAAATAACCCAGAATGTTAAAATACACATCAGAGAGTCATATTCACCTCACTTCTCTGATTTCCAGCTGACCCAGAGTCACAAACATCAGCCCAGCAGCATCCGGGACAGGAAACACATTGATCACTGGCTGTAAACACCAAAATAAATCCCTTCATGAAACATACATTATAGCTGCTTTAAAGATACCCTTTGTTACCATTGAGCAAAAGTGATGCTGTTTCTCACCAAAAACATATTGTGTATCTTTGAGGCCTAATAAAGTGTTAAATGCGCCATTAAACCTTTTCAGAGCCACATTTTGGAAGGATTTGAAACCTACAGTGTTTACACCCATGTTTATTTGCTAGCTGTTTCCCTCACTACAATCATCGGTATATTGCTTCATTTCTTGGCACATTACTGCCACCAAACGGTGATCGGTGGAATAACATGAAACCACTGGCAGGACTGTGTTACATCTACCACGTGCTTCCTTACAAGCATGAGATTCCTTGTGCATGAGATACAAACAAAAAGGCACAACTTGTAAAAGTAATGCTCCATAGCACAACTAGTCTACAGGGTACCTTTAAGACACACACAAAACACTCACGTCATTGAAGGTCCAGGTGTGTATTAAGCTCCAATCGGATGCTGAAGTCTGACTCCACAGACACACTGCCCATTTCCCTGCTGCTGCTACATACAAACCACCTGAGGGTCCAGGCAGACAGCATGTGTCCACCAGACAGCCTCCTGCTGGGGCCTGAACACACACACAATAATTTCCTCAGAAAGTGATTGTTTACTGTAATTCCAAATTGCAAACTCAAGCTAAGATTGAATTCTTAGTTGTAAGACAAGTAAAACTTTCTACCTTCAGCGTGTGCGCACATATCATCACGTGTTGCTCTGCAGTCTCCTCTGTTCTCGGGCACACCTGCCAACCCGTGCCCTGTGATTGGACGCTGGATGCAGTTGGACAGGTAGCCGGTTCAACCCTGTGACGCACACAATCAGCTGTATCTGACGGTTCTGATGGAGCCTGGTTCTGACTGGAGACCAAAGGCTGGCTGGGAGGGAGGGAGGGGATGGACGGACAGGGAGAGAGAGCCGGGGGAGATAGGGCCTGGGTTGACGGGCTGTGAGGAGGAGGCAGGGTGAGAGGTGGGGCAGAGGGAGAGGAGGTCAGGGGGAGGCCGGTAGCAACAGGGTGGGGGGTGAGTCCTAGGGAGGGTAGTGTGGGGCTGGCGAAGATAGCAGAGGAGGACAGATGTGGGGTTATGTCGGAGCAGGGTGCCGTGGCCAGAGGAGGGCTCAACAGGAGCTGAGAGTGGACTCTGTGGCGCGGTGAAGACTTATTCTGATTTTTATTTTCCACTGAACTGTCTCTGGGAGGACAAGTTGTGGGTTCAGAGGATTCCTTTGGATGTTTGGCAGGAGATTCCACATTCGGATGCTTCACAGGAGACTCTCCTGGAGCATCAATGACATTACACGTCCGTACAGCGGTGCAGCTGTTAGAAGGCTCCTCGGGTGTTTCCTGTAGATGGCAATCAAAGGAAAGAGCCTTGATGACAGCTTTGTCTGTGTGATCCTCCACAGGATGGACCACACCAGCACAGTCTGTGTGTTTTTCTGATGCAGGCTGTTTAAGTTCATTTGACTGCCCAACAACATTATCACTCACTTTGCCTGCAGGTCTGTCTGCAAAGTTCATGTGAGGCTGAGGTTTGATACGGTGGTCTATGGACGTGTCTGTGTTGCAGGCTGAGACGCTACTCTCACCACGACTATTCAAACTCACAGTATCTTGCTCTTCAGTTTGAGCTACACAGTCAGCAGCACGCTCTTGAACCACTGACACAGGTTCTGTTGAGCTGGTGTGAGTCTTTGCATGGAGGTTTTCAGTCTGCTGCTCTGCAGGGGTTTCTGTAATATCTCGGTTAGATTGCTCTTCAGCGAAGGACTGGCTTGCGAGCTTGTGGTTCATCATCAAGTTTTGGAAGTCTGCAGACTGTGTAGCAGCTTGTTTTCCTGCAGCTGGCTGCTCTGAATCTGTAATCGTGGGTGTGAGGCTGAGTGGGAGAGGAAGTGGCATCACTGGGTCACTGGTGCTGTAGCGAGGGTGAGAGTGGCGGTTGCTTCTACGAGTATTATAAGAGGGGGCTGTAAAATGTTCAACTCCTGATTCCAAAGCGACTTGGCGAAGCTTGTGTAACTTCAGGGAGGCAAACTGGTCATCAGGGAGATGAAAATCTTGGTGGATGTCAAAATTCATCAAGTTGCTGACCAGCAGGCCAGGGGACAGAGACGGCAGAGGAAGAAGAGAAGTTTGGGAAGGTGGAGAGGAAGGCAAGAGGAGAGATCGCCAGCTCGATGAACCTGAAGGATACGAGGTGAAAAAAAAGACAATGTGAGATGAAACAGATGGGTGACTGTGGCTTAAATCAGGGGTGACCCAACATAAACAATAAACTTCTTTGTAACTACTGTCAACTATCCTCCCCTTAAGGAACTAAAACCAACAATGAATTTTTCCACTGTTGTCTGTGCCACAGCCTGATATTATGCTTTTATTTACTCTTGTGCGCTGTAGAACTCCATTTTTAGTGAGTCCATAATTACACTGCTTCATTTTTAATTTAGGTGCCACAGCTGTCTAAGAGTCTGCAGATCAAGGCTCAGAAACAGCCTTCTTCACCAGGCTGTCGTTCAGTTACGTCTGCTAGCTACAAGACACAACTTTTGTAAAGTCCCTCTGCAGTGTTCACTATAATGTACAGCAGTTAAATTACCTCTTGACAAGATCTTACTTTGCACTATCATTGTTTTGCCTATGTTGCACTTAACTTTTCCAGTTATTTAGTGTACACTTTAAATATTTGAGAGGGCTTGGAATTATAAGACTATGTTTTGTTGTACGCAAGAATAACAACAATGAAGTTCAACTGAATTGACGAGCTGGAAAACTGATCCCAGTGTCAGCATTTGTAATAGTATATTACTGGATCCGAAACTAGAATTATGGTAAACTAATATTCTAATGTTAGCAAGCCCAACCTGCAAACGGTCTTTTCCATCTGTGTCTCTAACATTGACACACACATACAAGACTCACTTCTGCTCGTCTGTGTGGATGTGTTTGTCCTGCCACTGCTCTTCAGAAAGATGGGATAGACCTTCTCCACATGTCCAGAGGCAGCACTGCACTCAGCTCCATTAACCCCAGAGGAAGGCTGGGTAGCTGTGCTGTGGGTGGACACAGACTGGGGATCATCTGGCACAAGAACAGGTTCCCCGGGAGCGAGACAAGGCTTTGGTCCATCAGCTCCATGGAGAGACGGGGAGGAAGAGACCGGGATGCTGGCGGGCTGGTTATCATCTGAGGTTTGTTCAAAGACTGTTTGATGGGTGTCTAAACTAAGAGGGGACCATGGGGTCTGGCTTCTTCCTCTGCCCCTGCCCCTGCCCCTGCCCCTGCCTCTTTTTCTCCTCCTTCCTCTCCCTGGACGAGTGGTGCTGACAGCAGGGGATGAGAAAGCATCCACATTAGTCTGACTGGGAGAGTTTATATTTGAAATCTCGCTGGAGCTCTCACTGTTGCCAGTAAGGTCGGTAGATGCATCAACAGTCTGCATCTGTGATGATTTATAAGGATCTATAGATGCAGCTGTCAGAGAGGAGAAATCTGTCTCAGTGTGCTGATCTGAACATTCATTGGTGAGTGTGTGCCTGTTCAATCCTCTGCCACGGCCACGGCCCCGGCTCCTGCGATGTCGTCCCATGCTCAGCTGGGACAATATGATGGCCTGCATATCAGGCTGACTCTGTGAAATTGTCATACGCCTTGTGGTTCGGACATAGTACTCCACTGGGAAAAGCAGTCCCTCCACTAGAGTACAGGAGTCCAAGAGACCCCCAGTCTTTTCTTCTTTTATTTCCGTAGTGTTATCATGCCCTTTTTCATTTTCAATTTTCTCTGCTGCATTTTGCTCGTCTTTATTTCTGTTCTGTTCACAAAGCGTTATTTCTCTCTGTCCTCTTCCTTTCTCACCATTGTCTCCTCCCTCTGTCTCATTTCCTCTTTCACTCAGTGTACAATCTTGTCCCCTTTCTTCAGTCTGTTTAGCAGAGTTTGTACAACTCAACAGCAAAGAGGTTGCATCTGATTCATTTTTCTCTTCAGCTCTCAACTCACTTTCTTTTCCCTTTTGTTCATGATCTCCTTGCATCTCCTTTCCCTCCATATCTCCTGTTTCAGTGTTTGCATGTGTGTTCCAGTGTGTAAGCAGCAGAGAGGGAGACTCAGACTCTGAGGCAGAAAATGGCTCTTCATTTTCATTCACAACCTCTGTTCCCTCAGACTTGGTTTTCTCCTCCACCCTTTCACTCTGCTCCTGTCCTTCTTGACTGCTGTCTGTGATCCTGCCAGTCTCAGCACTCCTCCTTTCCCACCGCAGGCGGCTGCGCCGAGACCTGAGGCGCAGGGCAGGACTGGGTCTGTGACCTCTACCTGAGTCATGGCTGGGATCTGGGGTTTGCGGGCAGGCAGCATCAGAGGGGAGCAGGAACCTGATCACCTGGCTCCTCCTGAAGTTATCAGAATCTTCGAGACCTGGTAAAACATCAGTAAATCTGTGAATTTCAATATGCTCTTTTAATGCATTCAAAACATTATCTACTTCTCAGAGCAATGACTGTGTAACCTCAACCATATGAAAAGATGTTTGCTGTTTTGGGATGGACAGGCAAGGAAGTAATGTATGTGTATAGGATAGAGGAAGAAAAACTGCCATAAACACATACAGGTCCATATATATCAATGCGTATGTGCACATTTAAATCCAGTTACAAATATATTGTTTCTTTCCTGGTCCAATTAAAAAGATTAACTTCCATCTCTCACATCGAGGCAGTAACTACAGGCTTTGGATCAACAATGAATGACTTTACAGTATAACTAAAATAGCCATATCCATATTGCACATAGGGTTATATGATTCTATATGTTTTAACATATGCAGATATTTACAAATGCGCTTTGGCAAAAACCCACTTCATGTAACACTTTTAGATATTTTACAGCATACATGCCTGTCTAACAGTAATTGTAGATATATACTGCGAATATATACCGTGGAAAATATTAACTACTGTATCCGTACTTTGCATCTGATTAGGATAGACTCACCCTCAGTCTGTCCCTGGCACTGGAGCACACCTTGGGCTGTGGCATTGGCAGTGTTCACTGTCAATGACGATGGGTTGTGACATGGGTTAGATGTCACCTCTGGGTCCCTCTGGTCCTGGTGGTTCTGCTGTGTGATCCTGCTCCTCACATGTCTACGCACTGCTTCCAAACGCTCAGCACGCTGTGAACCGATCAACATGTGAAGTAGACAAAGGATTTTCTAATTTTAACTTTTAAAAGAAAAAAGCAAATGAGAATATTTCTTACCTGTAGTTTCTCGGCTGTTCTGAGATATTCCCTTTGTAAAAGTACCAACTTCCTGCGTAGCTGAATGAGGAAAATATCAGAGGAGACAGAACTAGGTTCATGGTAGCACTTTATGTGTAACAGCAATATGTAGACAAATGTAAACAGTGGGGAAAAGTAACTAAGTACATTTATTCAAGTTCTGTACAATGAGTTTACTGTAGCTATTTTAAGTGTAATTCAAAGAAAATATTTTTGTACTTTGAAGTTAAATTTTGAATGCAGTACATTTACTTGTCAGAGAGTGTTTCTACACTGTGGCAATGTTATCTTTACTTAAGTATATGATGTGAGTACTTCTTCCACCACTGAATGGATATTACCTTCTCCTTGTCATCATAGTGCAGTGTAGTCTTCAGCTCTTCCTCCACATTGCTCTCCATACTGTTCACTCGGCCCTGACACACGAATATAAGTTACATGTAGCTATAGCACGGCTAACCTGGCATTAGTTTAGATATATTTAATATTAATTATTGATGTAATATTTAAGTTATGATGTAATTCTTTAGTTTACCGGCCAGTTTACCTAAACCGCAGGGCTAACGGTAAAGTTCGACTGTAACGTAAGATTAGCTAATTTTAGTAACCGAATAATACATTAACGTTAAGGATCAACAGCAAATGTTCAGGCTGTCTACACACAAATTCTGCGACTTTGTTATAATGACATGATATAATGATATTAATGTTAATGTTTAAGGCACACTTACTCTGACTCCGCTGGCTGGTCCATGGAGTTTATTTTGATGTTCGATCACACGGGTATCGATTTAGTTCTAATTTCCCGCGACTCCTTCAGCAGACGTGAGCAGTGGAGTTCCGACGACTCGATCAGCCGGAGGAAGGAGGTAAATTTGTTTGCTTTTACTTACTGAAATGCATTTAAGTTTAGTTTCGTATTTACTACAAAAAGTCTACAAAAGTCACTCCTACATTACTTTCACACATAAAACGTACTGGAAATTGCAAGTTATAATGGGTGACATTTGACTATTTTATCGTTTCAAACTGATATTAACCGTTAAACCTGTCGCATAAATTCAAACAAGCTAAGGTTAGCTTAATATTTTTTTACCAAGCTAACTTCTAAGAAAAACCCAGGCCGCCTCGAAAGTATCATAAATATAATTAAAAGGAAACTGGAAACCATATCTGGATATCTGGAAACCACATATAGATACTTTAGTATATACTGTTTGTTTGTCACTTTTGGGAATGAGAAACCCAAGAAATGTCCCTATAATCAATAATTTTAACAATTGTTTGACAACGTACTCTCACTGAGCACTTAATTAAGTACACCTGGCAGCAGGTGTACCTGCAGATAACGGTCAGGAGCTTTAGTTACTTCATGTCATTACAGTTTGTTCACCAGATAGCACTAACTCACATATAGTCAAAATTCTTTAAACTTTACAGAAATTTATGGGATCCTTATTAAAATGTTTGTTTATATGCTTGTGTAAAAAATTTTCAAAATCTGAAATTTTAAACTCCTGATGAAGGAGTTTTCAGGACACATTGATTTCTTAAACAGAAGTATTTATTACAGCTTCATGTGCATCAAGGAGATAGGCAATGGACAATTACAAACATTAACAGGTTAAGTACTGTAGTGCCATCCCAAACCTGAAGCTGTCCCATGCAACAGGTATATATAAACCCACACAAGCACATACATCAGTCCTAAACAATGAATTACATTCACCTAAGTCACATTCTACAAGGAATCTCAAGGAAGACAGTTTGTCTCTTAGCTGAAGGGCTCTTGTATAACTAGACCCCCCCAGACCCCCTTCTCAGTCCATGATATCATTACGACCTTGATTACTACGACAACAGCTACCATCGGTGACTGCAAGAGTTTGACGTTATCCATGTGTTTTCGCATCCATCCTAGATACAGAAAGTAAACTATTACTAATTAAAGACCTAAAAGGTTAGAAACAAAAAGATTCCTTTACAGATACGATACTCAGAAATTGAGAATTGGTCAGGCTATAATGTTAACCTGAGAGAAATGACAGAGACACTGTCAAGTAAGAGTCTTCTACAGGAAAGGAAATGAGGACACTTGTGTGTGCAGCTAATGAAACAGTTATCATAATCATGAGTAATGAGAATGCAACCACAAATTTGTGAAAACCATCAGAAGCACCAACACAGCTCCTGAAAGGTATAAATTACAATTTTAATGCCAAAACAGTCGTACCAATACATTAACAGTATTTGAAAAATGTGTAAATAGATGCAAATACATAGGCTACAAATTGAACAAGTTGTATACCTATCACTCTGAACCAAAACAGTCTGATTTGGGTAAAATAATGAAATCAGGCTGCAGAATGTTGTCTCATTGGTGCAAATCTTATTTGGCACTCTGGGTTGGCTACAATAGATTTGAAAACTGTTATTGTATTTCAGCTCATGTGGACATAGGTGTTGTATTTTATACATTCATAAGCCACAGTTTTATACAGAAATAAGAATATAGAGAAGATTGCTCAGTACAATACAGACTGCATATATAAAGCACGAAATATGGCAGGTCACAAAACTCTTTGAAATTGTTGGATGGATTTGTTAATGGATTTTTTTCTTTATTTGTAACAAAGTGACTTTTGCTACTTGACCTCGGGCAGGTGCTGTATTATGTATTATGTATTATGCATTATATGTTTTTCGTGATCTTCTGACAGCCTAAGTAGAGGTGTTTATTCTGGTCTATAAACTCAGAGTGTTTGTGTTATTCACACTGGTGTACAGAGTTTTTAATTTGGTGAAATTGTCCTGCTCCTCAGACATCCACAGGTGAGGTACTTCATAGCGGTCATGCTGATGTGCATGAGAGAGCCGAGGTTGAAGAGCATGTGGTAGAAGGCATGGACAGACAGGCCTCCAGTTTCATCAGCGTATTTCAATGCTACAATAGGCGTGTACATAGGGTTGGTCAGGTTACGGAAACGTGGTCTGCTTGCTTCAATCACTTTCTTGGTGCACTGCAGAAAGTGGGAGGATGGACAAGAAAGACACAAGATTTGCAGTCAGACGTACAGGATTAATCACTGGTGCAGACAAACAGATGAGGCACAGTAAAGCTGAGTCACAGGCTGCTGGAGAACTTACTCTGGCGATGTCATCAGGTGTTTGTCCCAGTACCTCAAAGATGTCAAGAGAAGAAGGAAGGTAGACGTTCTTGAAGTAATGCACTGTGTCAGGATCAGCCCCAGGACACTCCCTCTGTTTCACTTCCTGAATCATCTTTGCCTCAAATTCTGTATGCACTGGACCCGGCTCAATCAATGACAATCTGAGGAAAGAGACACTGGAGCTCAACAACACAGCATGGTCAGATGGAGGAATAGTTCTGTGGGCGAATGGGTAATACTAGTGCTGACATCATTAATTGATTGATCAGGTGAGAACATATCAATCAAATAAAATTTCAATGATTAATTAATCTATTAACAGCAGTCCATGAAAATTTCCACCCAAGGCTACAAGAGTCGGTGGTAATACGTTACTAGTTTTTTAAATTTAACTAATAAAAATGATAAGCGTTTTATAGGTTACAGATAGAGAAAAGCAATGACCATCAAAATTTAAATTTCCCCATTGCTCTGTTTTATGAACAAATACCTGAAAAACTATGACCCATGAGCCTCACACCTGCTCTTTGTTGATAATGATGGGAATAGCATTAGTGAAACTCACGTGACGTTAAACTTTAAGAGTTGCACAGCCAAACTCTCACAGAAGCCCTCCATGGCAAACTTGGATGCTGCATACACGTCATTAAACACCACACCTGCAGAGACAAAATTTAAAAAATTTAATTCTACTTCCAGACAATATGAATAAAGACATACAGTTGTTCTCCGTTAGACTTCCTTCACATCCACCCCCTCTACCATCTGTCCATCATCCACCCATCAATCCATCAAACTGAAGCAGAGAGGCCTGTTATTTCTCCCTTTACCATTTAACGCCCCATCCCGCCTCCTCCCCATTTACTCATCCCATCACACCTGTGTCTCTGTTTACCTTGCAATCCCATCACGCTGCTGACCACAATGATGTGTCCTCCTCTTCTTTTCTTCATATCAGGCATCACCTCCTTTATCATACGGATCACTCCAAACACATTGGTCTCAAACACTTTCTTCATCTCTTCCATGGGGATGCTCTCCACAGGACCCACCAGGCCAATACCTGCATTATTGACTGGTCAGGAGAAGAAGAAGGAAAAGAAGAAGACAAGGAAGGCAGGGTGCAGTCAGTATGAATTTTAGTGATTGTAACAATCCAAGGTACAGGGTGTTGAGGGTGCATTCACTTTTACTTACTAAGGACATCCACGTGTCGATCTTTGATGCCATTGATACACTGTTTGACGGACTCATCGCTGCAGACATCAAGTACAGCCAGAGAAAGAGTTTTCCCATACGCATCCCCGGCAGCTTCTACTAGCTTATCTTTACGTTTCAGATCACGCATCGTGGCAATGACTGTGGGCAGTTGGTAGACAAGGGAAAGTAAATCACAGAGCTGAGAAGTTTGATATTGTAGATATAGATCATTTAATATTTATACATTATACTGTATTGTCTTGACTTATGCTGGGATTTGCTTTGGCAACACTTTCTGTCCGGCCTGTAAAAACATGCTGATGTGAGCTGAAAAATCATTATATTAATCAGACATGTAAATGGAGTAGAGTAAAGCTTTAAAGGAAGCTGAAGTGGGGGCTTAATACTCTTATGTCAGCTAGTCTCCATTCAGACCAAATTCCTGTTCCAACAGGAGATGTTCACTGTATCGGGGGCAGTGATTAAATCATCACACTTGCTCAGCAACTACTGTCAAACAAAATCCCCTTGAGCAAGGCACCAATCCAAAAACTTCACTATTTGTGGTTTTGCATAGACACCTTCAGTGAAAAGAGCGGCACCTCCACAATGGCTTGAAACCACAAATTTGTTTAAATGTTTTAATCCCAAATGTATTTTCTTCGAGTCATCTTGACCTGCACTCCTCTTTTTACCAGTGCTGTTTGCCAAGAGCCATGTGTGTAATTGTGCTCCCTCTGTTTCTATGGGCAGCTTCCAAGTGTAAGTTTAAATGGATGTAACACTCCTTCTCTACTTAAACTTGAGCACTATGCCTCCAGGCTGCTGTTGTAAATGATTATGTGATTAGGCATCGTGCCCAGGTAAACGCAGTTACATAAAGACTATCTGTGGTATCATACTTGGAGCCTCACACAAGATACACACATGCACACGGGTATAATGATATGTTGAATAGACTCGTGTCATGATACGTGTGTATTACTTGTTTAAGAAGTTAAGGCAGGTGCACAATGCTCTTTTGAATCCTGCTGCAGCATCAATACATGTTCTGTCTGTGCACACATTTATATGTTTTCCGTCCTGAGTGATCCTGTCTTTGTGTTCAATTATTGTCGTAGGAATGAAGGAAAAGAAAGGAGTAACGGTCATGGACAGCTGGGAAGGACGTGTGACAAAAAATTTGTCAACAAAGCAAAGAATAGTAGGTGAAAACAGAGAGTGAAGTACTATAAGGAAACTGTTCACAAACATCCCTTTCCTGAGTCAAACTGTTGAACACATTGAGTAAATTTCTGAAAGAACACAACAGTGGAAAAAGCAGCACTAAAGATAGTCATTCGAGTAAAGACAACCTTAAGCAGCCTTAATATAGACTTTGTGGTCATTACTAGTCCTGTTACAGAAACCAGTTTACATATCAGCATTAACGTCTTGCCATGGTGCTCATGTCACCTGCCTGCTCCAGGAATAGCCCTTGCCAGCCTGTCATCCACAATGAAGCTCTACAAGCCAGGCCATAATAAGCCTAACCGAGGCTGTGCCGTGGCTTTAGCCATTGTCTGGTGTCTTAAGAGTGACCTAAGGTTAAGTTGGGATCAGAGACATAACTATGTGTTGGGAGGTACAGTGAGGTCAGAGCTTTATCTTATGCTAGAAAAGTGCAGTTCAGACCTCAATGATTCATAAACGCTCAGTATTTTGAGCATAATCAACATCTCCTCCACCGATGGCTGCACATCCATGGTATATTTTACATAATCACTGACAATTTTCAAATACATGCTATAGAGTTTGAGATTTTTTATGTATTTTTCTGACTGATAGAGGAAGCCATTGTTTGAAGCTATCATTTCCCATTAGTTTCCATATGGCATGAAAGTCAGTCAGTAGACGAGTGAAAGTTGCTTGAGTTTTCAAGTCTGCTCTAATTTTTATCAACATTAGATCATTCATTCTGCATTGTCATTGTACGATAATGCAGTAGTGTAGATTGAATTTGAAAAATCTGCACTGCTTTACCTCATAATACAATACAACAGGAAAACAAATGGAAACTAATGGATATGTGGGACAGTAGAACAAATACATTCAACTTTCCAAAAAATGGTTAGCTGTGATGTAAAGTGTATAAGTGATTTGAGTCGACCACAAGCAGTTGGAAAAACTGGGTAAAGAATGCGAGAGGATTGGTGTTAGGCTTAGATCTCAGTATGAAAGTAAATAAGCCCATATGTCACTTGACTTGGTCCTTCCTTTTGTCACCATCATTATAGTTTACTTTATGTTGGGAAATATGAAACACATACGTAAAGGTTGTTATATAAGGAATACAAACTATATGATATGGTGTTTTTTAATATTAAAGAGAGACTGTGTGTACCTTAAATCTGTTTGGAGGAGGATTTAAATTTGGGTGTTACAGACAGGTTGTGGGAGCAGGCCTCTGGAGGAGTACACACAGCCTCATTTTGAATTAGTCATTGTCTGATACTGCATTGACTTAATTTGTGTGGTTAAACTTGGCAAACTGTTTTAAATATTGACTCTATTTGTGACTGGTGTAAGCTGCTTCTCGCCTTCCTAACACGTCTTTCATAAAGTGTTTAGTATTAGAGATCTGTTTTCCAGACGTGAGATATTTTTGTGTAAGTGACACAACCTGATTAATTGATTGCATTAGTCTACAACTTTTGTAACTCTATTAGTGTCTTGGCCAATGTATGCAGTCTCATTTTATGGCTGAGAGAAGTGATGCTGCAGTTACAGAATCTAAAGAATGTTCTTAATTATATGGCTTTCCTTGATTATAATACTTTCCTATGAAAACCTGTTGAAAGTCCCTGATTGCATGTCGATCAGATGTCCAGGTTCTATATTTGTCTTGAAAGTATTTGAAGCTAAAAAACAATAAAGCAGAAAAAACAAAGCTTTGAGTTTGTTCCCGTCTCCATTAATCAATTTATTCTAGTTTATTTTCTAGGATCTCAAAGTTTTATTATTGATTCTAGATTACATCTAAATGTATTCCTCATTGACTGTAAAGTGGTTCATATTTGAAATATCTAAGCCACTGTCATTTCACTCATCCTTTGATGGAAACGGTTGATTAAACAACCATGTGGATTATATAACACTGTTATGTCAGCTACTCTCCAGTCTTGATGTAAGCATCTTATGTGTAAACAGTATGGCTGAAGTACAAGGGATGTAAAGACTTTAACAAATTATGTGGAATTCCATTCAAGTAAAGCTGTTATTAGTAGAAGTTGCATTATTTTATTTAGCAATTTATTGACTTATTGAACAATTTTCCTTCTCTGTATGCTTTAATAACACCAAGGTAACCTATTTACATGCTATGCTAATTGAAATTGCAATTAAATATCGATTCACTCACTCTCTCTCTCTCTCTCTCTCTCTCTCTCTCTCTCTCTCTCTCTCTCTCTCTCTCTCTCTCTCTCTCTCTCTCTCTCTCTCTCTCTCTCTCTCTCTCTCTCTCTCTCTCTCTCTCTCTCTCTCTCTCTCTCTCTCTCTCTCTCTCTCTCTCTCTCTCTCTCTCTCTCACACACACACACACACACACAGAGTGCACCTACCGTGATAACGCTTCTGTTCATCCTTCGCCAGCATCACAGCCATCCTCAGGCCGATACCGGAGGAGCAGCCAGTGATCAGCACCACTTTCTGTCCGGGACTCGCCATGGCTCCACTGCCTCTCTGCTCTGTTATCAGACTGAAGTACCAGCAGACGACCAGCTCTGTGGGATGAGTGGAGAGCTGAGGTGAGAGCCACTATAAGAGGATAAGGGAGAGAGAAAGAGAGTGTCACATGGATAGAGCGCACAGCCACAGCGCTGATCAGATTATCTAAGGGGTCAGTCAGTATTAGTATTCAACTCATTTTATTCCATAACTGAAAAATACCCATCATGCATCACTGCAAAAGTCGATAAACCTTCTATCTCTCAGTAAAGTTTGTTTTCTGTGAAACATAGAACTTTAATTTTTTTAAAACAAATAAATAAGAAACCATTTGAAGTTGCATATCAGTATGTTGAAATCAGCGCCTGTAAGCCAAACCTGTAAAGAGGTTTGGCGCCACCCAGTGGTCAATATGATTATTTCTTCAAATGAGTCCACTGTAACTGAATGAGTCGCCTTGGCCTGGTGTTCCAAGCCTGGCGTCATCATACACAAAGATGCATGTGAATGTTTTTTTGTTTTTTTTGTCAGTGTCAGAAAAGTTCTGGTTTTGACTGATAGAATTGATGAAACAAACACTACACACAACAAGCATACACACACACGAACACATACACACACACACACACACACACACACACACGCGCACACACACACTTGAAAGCAAAAGTAAAGCTGACAGTCATAAATTAAAGACAACCTACCTGAAGCGTGAGGTAGGGCTATTTGGAAATATGCCTGTAATCTATTTTCTTCTTGTTCTTAAAAAAATGAGTATGTATGAGTGCCAGGATGCAATTTACTTCAGTTAATACCAAAATATGAACTTCTTAAAATTATTGCACACTACATTTACATGTATTTTAAATATACGACATATTTACATTTAACCACCTGAGGAATATGGCAAGTGTTCTCTCCAGTATATTCACAAAAACACAGAGTATTTTTTATATCTGTTCGTTAGTAACAGGCTGGAAAACACTTACACTTTTGCTCTCATCCTGACATAAAGACAATGCAGGGCGATGGTAATTTTTACAAAATGCTGCAGCAAGACAGCAGCAAATTATACTAAGAACAGTTATACCTTCCCAATACTGAAATAACACTGTTAAATCACACCTACACTTTTAATCTAGCCCTCTCCTTAATGTGCACATTTCAGAATTTGTCATTTATTAATACACAGTAAAATGTGCCAAAATAGTTTTTTACGAATACATACATGGTTACATGGCACATTTTGTTTTATCTTAAATTATTTATGTCATTTTAAATCCATTTTCTATAATTTACTTGGATTAAACATCCTAATTTGCTCTGTTGTCCATTTTCAAGTACATTTTGTTGCATTTTTATGTTTAAAATATGTTTAAGGTAGCCTACTATATAACTATATTTAGATTTGATTAGATTTTACAGTTTCATTTGGTCCTGATACAGTCCTTTTATTTTAGGCTACAAGTGATCTAACTGTCTAGATAATACAGTCAAATGTAGATGGACGCTGGAGCAGGACAAGGGAGACCTTAGGCTCATATAGGTATTCATGGAAATGTATGCATGTGTGTGCATGTACTGAGCTCAGATTCATCCCTTTTCAGCCGTAAACTTCTCCTAACAACTCCTTAAAGGTTTCTGATACCTCCCAGTGAGCTTCTGGCTTCTTTTGACTTTTCCACATTAGAGATAAAGAAAGATGAAGCCTTGAAATAGAGGGCAAGGAGTACATTTTGGTTTTTATTGTGCCTATAGGACGAATATGGTGTGTGTGTTTGAAGAGACTGGAGTGGGCAAAGACAGACAGGCACTGGAATTTGGAATCTGCAGCAGCATATTTTTATTAGTTGGGCAGCACCGTTGTCCTGTCCTAGCATGCTTTGTGTGTGTGCGCGTGTTTGTGCCTGAGAGAGAGGGAGAGCAGAAAATGAAATGCGGCACAAGCCTTCATTGTTCATGTTGGATGTTTTGTATTAGGTCCTACAGAGAGAAACTTTGCTTTATATTCAAGTCATTGAAACTTATTGGAAATGTGCGCGGGCGCACATGTGCACATATGTGTGTGACAGCTGTATAATTTGTACGAACCAGGACGTGCGTGCAAATAAGTGCCCGTGCGCGCATCAAAGAGAGAGAGAGAGAGAGAGAGAGAGAGAGAGAGACACCATAGTTCCTTAAATCATTCAGATAATAATGATGCAAATAATGACACACGCAGTAATTATGTTTCTGCACAGCTCCACGAGCCTCAGGAGTCTCCGGGGAGGGAGGGGTCACCCCGGGGAGGAGGAGAGGGGAGGCAGGGAGGGAGGAGGGGAGAGAAAGTGAGGAAAGTTCTTTGAGGGTGAAGGAAGAAAGACCATCCGAGATTAAGGGATTTTTTTCCGCTAGTCTCAGTTCTTCATCCGTCCATCCAGAAGAAAAAAACACAGACAGCAGTACATGCCCCGCTGAAGATCACCTATCATCAATTAAATCAGCGTATGCGCGCTCTTAATTGGCAGCTGGCGGAGTGCGCAGCAACACGCACGGGCGCGAGACAGTTCCTAGACGTTCTCGCGTGCTGAGCCGAAGTTCCTCTGACTGCAGGTGTCCCGCGGAGCGCACAGGAGCCACGAGGGAGTTATTGGCCGCTGCATCGATAGCCTCAAATGCCATATGATGGATCGATGGAGCCCAGTGCGCGACACATGGCTGCTGTTGATGCTTATCGTAGTGTGTCACACCTCAAGAGCAGGTAGGCTGACATATACACGGTTGTTTACTTGTTTATCTTTGTGCAAGTAATTGGCTTACCCTCTATTAAGATAGTCTGCCTACAGAGAGTTTAAAGAGTATTTGTGACATTTCACTAATCTTTGTTGAACATTTTAATGTTCAATTGTTGTTCAACAATAAAATATCCAACCACCAATCAGTAAACCATTTAATGGTTAAGCTGACGGTTAGGGTTAGCAATAACCTTTTAGAAATGTTAAAAGTACTCTGAAAACTCTCTGCAGGCTGACTATGTAAATAAAGTGTTACCAGTAAGTGACTTTCTAAATTCAATTAACACATTTTTTTTAGTGGCTGTAAAAAGTTGAAGTTTGATTAGTCCATGGTTCCTGCCCCTGTTTTTCTCTCCTCCTCTACCTGTGTCACATCAGTTATCACCACCTGCCCTCCAGGCCTTCATGAGCTGATGAAAGCCAAGTTTAAATGTCACCCATAACCCATCCTGAACATCATTTTAATCCCTTCCTGCAAACTGTCGGTCAATTGTGCATCTACCCATCTTTGGTTTGTTGATATGAACTTCATTATTCAGGCATGGGTCAATTCCTGAAGACCCCCCCACCCCACCCCCAAACTTGTCTCCAAGTTATTTTCCACTTAACTTCCAGAAAAATAGGCTTTGGTCTCCATTTTGACAGATGATTTTGTCGTGCCAGGTCATGCAGGCCTAAAGCTTACTGAACTGAACTGCCTCGTTCTGGGCTCCTTGAGCCCACTGCACATTTGCTAGACAGTGGAAAGGCATAGGCCTATATGTCTAGACTTGTTCTGCCATACCTGCTGCATCAGTCTGTGCTCTCATACAGCAACATACAGGATATTTAACAGCTGGGTAATGGAGAACAGACTGAGGCAAATTAAAGTGAGCTGTGCTGAACTGTACTGGGGATGCTTGGTTACGTACAGCAGCCCCTGAAGGTGCACTGGAACCATATGAGAAGACTTAATTCTTCTGGGGCTTTTAGAGCTTGGTGTCATTGATGTTTATCAAGATAAGAGCATGTGTGCATCACCGTATTTCAGTAGGCAAGTTGCCTTGTTTTATCATTGTAGACAATGATAAAACTATAAAAAATCACACAGTAGTTCATTGTAGGGTCACTGACTTAAATCAGCTCCACTGAGTAATCCTGGTGAAATACTATGAACCTCCTTGCACCAGATGGGCCAGAACTTAAGACAGAAAGGTTGAGTCAGGTCATTCTTTTCCTTTCAAATGCTTCTTTGTGAGCTTGTGGTTCTTTTTCTTTGATCTTCAAAGATCATTATTGACCTTGGAAACAACACTTTACAAAACAATCTTACCTCAGGGACCATTTAGTGGCAGCTCCTGAACTTTCAATCATATTACAAGATATTTATCAGCAGATGGAGTTTGCCAGCTGTCCTGGAATTGTAGACATTTAGATTTTCATTTTCTCTGGGCAGTTGAAGGACTCCTGGTCCATGTTAGCTTAAAGGAATTGTTAAACATTGCTGGAATTATGCACCGTTGTTTTCTTGAGAATTGGAAGAGAAGATCAATACCACTGAAAAGAGAGATAAAGGTAACAAAATCCATCTACCAGTACCTCTGAAGCTATCTGTTAACATGTCATATCTTGTTTGTTTAAGCTGTTCAGAGACGGGTAAAAACGACACTTTGCAGTGACTCAGGGGTTTATGTACCAGACTGTTTCTTTGCCAGGAACAGTAAATTCCAGCAGTCATGCCATTGTGAGGTTGTTAGAAAATTACCTCTAGACTAACTTACAAATAAGTGTATTTCCGAAAAAGTTGAACTGTTGCTTAAAAACCTGAACTTCAAAGTTGAAACAGCAACAAAACATTGTCATGTCAATGTCAGATCTGCTGAAGATCATGCGATATGATTTAAAAGTCCAGAACAACTACTAAAATAACCTTGAGCTGATGTTATTTTGTCAGCCACATATTAGCAATCATAAACATCCAAACAAACACACAAAGGCGAGAAAAAATCCTGCAACTAATTGCTTAAACACACCATCTGTTGTTTTCCTCATTTAATGGCTGTTTTATTTGCAAGTCAGCATCCACCGGCTTTGGACAGGGCTACATCAACAATTCACTGTAAAAGAGTCAGAAGGCAGGTGACTTGGCAGCGACTCCACCATGTTGCCTCCACCTGCTCTGTCTGAGAAGATGCTGAGAAAGCTGAAAAGTATTAATGTTATGTCCCAATAACCATTATGAACTATTTGTTTTGTACTTTGGATTAAGAAAAAATTTGCCTCCCAGCTATCAA